TTTTTAACCATCAGTCTCAAAAAAAGTGAACGTTAAGCGGTTAACGGACTGCGCCTCGCGTTCCATCTAATGGGTACTCTCTCCTCGTTTAGATGATCGTCGACGTCTTGGTAGCCACGCGTTATTGGGCGCTTACTTTCCTGAGGAACTTTATGCATCTGTTCCGTCATCTTCGCATGGAAAGTCCCCAAAGCTGAGACTTGTTTCGAGTCTGGACTTTCGATTCTCCCCTTGGTAAAAAGGTTCGTCTAGTTTAAGTAGGCGAAAGAAATCAGTACTTCCTGAACTTCTCTTAAGCTTTTGATTCTCGGAAGTGCTATCCTGCTAGATTTATGGCACGACTCGAAAATTTAGCACGTTGCTATCCGTGGTCTCCTTTGGTAAGGAATAAGGCCGAGCTAGATGCTAGGTGCGTGGGTTCCAGGTACCAGAACAGAAATCGAACGGAAACAGAAGCGAGGCCAAGAGGGGTACGAGGACACCGATATTGGGTTAGTTTTTGCAACTGGTTTCTAGTTTCCAACAGTGGTGCAATGAGGCCTGCGCTTCCCGTAGACGATCACCACGTTCCACATTAAACTCGCACCGTGACGCGGCGAGGACGAGGACGAGGACGTAGGATGAAGAAAAAGAAGTCGTTTCCCAGTCGTGGAGCCTCTGCTGTTACGGGAAATTCGATTTACATCCGTAGCGACTATAATCCCAACGAATTGAACCCTTGGTAAAATTAAGGGAATGTCTGGTCGTACACATCGGATCACTTCTACTTGATCGTTTTTTCATTAAAAATTCTTAAGATATCATTTCCTTCACAAAATGAACTTTCCGAATTCAAAGCTTCCCGTCGTCGTTTATTATTGCAATGAAATTCTGTCTACTGCAGGCGGCTTCGACGAGTGTTCTCCGCGTCAATCGACGATACTTCGCGTCCAAATTGCGACGAGATCGATGATGTCGTGTAATACGTTATTTCTAGACGCCATTATCGGCGAAAATACCAACAAAAAGCGTGCAAGGGGTGCGTAGGATAGATTGAACTACAACAGGATGCAACCGGCGCATTCGATCCGCCGCAAATGGCCAGACAACTTTTTCCGCGATTCCCCTAGAAATAAATATAACGCTCTCTCGATTTAGCCGCGTTCGATCGTTTCTCACGAATCGCTTGACGTGTGCCGCTTGAAAATTTCCTCCTGCCTCGGAAACGAGGGAAAACGAACTTCCTCTTCGGCCTGGTAACCGCCAACGCTGAATACAATAACATTAATTAATTATGCTTTATTTCATTCGCGGATAAAAGTTCTTTGATTCGTGCGCCCGTAAATTTGAAAAAATGGATTGGAAAGATGAGGTTACTTTCAAATCAATACAATGGGAGAATAGCTACCAAATGCTTCGATTGTTCTTTTATTTTATTTTTAGATGTGATCCTCATTTGGTTTTAGTTCTTCGAAGGTATGATACACCCTCGTACTGTGTCGTGTCGAGTATTGTTTGTTTGTTTTATATTGATTATTGTATTTATTGTATATCATCCAGTCTTGATTTTTACAAATCAATGGTCTCATCAATCCTTAACTTCTTACATTACATTCTTTACATGATTGTTAGGAGCCATTGGCCCTCCTTTAGCACGGGTACCCCGGGATCGTTAAGCCTATACCGTAGCTACAATCAAACTTTATCAAACATAGCTACAGCCCCTGAGGGCTCGTGTCGAATATCTTCATATCTTCTGAGGTCTGTTTCTCATGAAATCAAGGAGGAAAATTTGTCGTGCATCGTGAATCGTCCATTTTTCCCCGCTATCGCTGGGCCTCTCCGTATCGATACCCACGCAAGAACTCCTAACGGTAAGATAATGGCGCGAACCCATCCCCGCGCATTTAACTTTCATTAAGGTCGACAGGTATGACCTTTTCATCGTGGTTCTCTATCTGCGTGTCAACCCGTTAAGGCATGAAATTTTTCTCACGTTCTCCATCTACCTTTCAGGTCCACGAACGAACGTAACCCTCCTACGAAACTAAAAGCTTCGTAGAAAATCTCCCGTAGCCCCAAACCGTCCTGTACGAACCTAAGATTCGATGCCAAAAGAGAGGGATGTTTGAAACTATTGGAAACGTATTATAAAATATTTTCGATCCATACATACGAAGCAGGAAGCGAGAACTCCTAGAGTTTTTAGATGAATATTTTAAGGGAATTAACGGGGCCACGAACGAAATCGATAGAATTAGCGGAACGATTAGCATAATTACACAATCTAGTAGCAGGATCAGTACAAGAAAGGTTAGTTCCGAATAGCGAGTGTGCTCAAGAATCCCGTTTCGATTATTCTCGTCGTTTTTTAAGAAATTTCCATTCCTGCCCCCTGGAGAAACATTACGTGTATACGCTGTTTAATTAATATATACGTGCCTGCGCCGATTAAGAAGCCAGTCGAGGATGACTTTCGATCATTGACTCGATGTAATGAATATTTATGAACCGACTGATAGGATAAATTTAAGTTTAGAAATGTTGAAAAATGCATTGTTTTGCATAAAATCGATGTGAAAAGAGAAACTTTGGAATATTTGTATTCGGAACCTGTTTAAGTTCACATCGTAAAAACTTGTTTTAGAGGAAACAATGATTAATGTTCATTTCAAAGAAATCTTTATTTCAAGTTAATAATTCCTGGGTGCCTACTTGTGTCCTTCCTGGGTACAGGTAAACGAATAAAAGTTAATCCGTGGATAAAAAAGGGAATTAGCATCGGACGAAGATAGAAGAGGAGCTTCTCCTTCCCTTGGCGAAAAAATTCCTGGCCGTAATGACTTTTTGGCGTGGAAAAAGAGACTATGATCGTCCGAGAATACTTGTTGGAGGAGAGAAATGAGAGAGCGGTATTACCTTTTCCATGCAGCATCCTCCTCCTCCTCTTGCTTCAAGGCTGCTCGTTTCACATTGTTTCGCTGGAGGTACATTTGCAGCCACACCTTTCGAAATCATTCGAGCAAGCCTATCAAAGGAACCAAACGGTTCACTCTTTTAACCATACACAATCCCTTTCCAAACTGCTTCCACAAAAAGTTTGGGGCAGTTAGCTGGGGCACGGAATCGAGGGATGTTTATAATTTTTATTATCTATGAAATAATGCTGTATCGCAAACACATGCTGTATCTAAAGTAGTTCAATCAAAAATATATATTATTAAAGAATTCATTGGTTTCTTAACCCCTCTTAAAAATTAACAAGCACGTTGACACCTGTATGAACTTTTTTCATCGTTTTTGTGCCCCCGATCCGCCACTGAAGTGGGTCCCACATGTTAGGACACGCCCCGTAGGTGCGAACCGGTATCCACTTGCCTTCGGTAACATTGTTGCAAGGACATTTTTTTCCCTGATCGCGCAATTTTTCAGCCTGTCGCGAAACACTCTTTTTCGAAACTCGATCGCTTAATCTCGAGTGAAATCTACGCTGAGCACTGTTTCAGTATTCCACAAGATTCCGTGCGAATCGGTCGCATTCATTTTGGGGTTTCGACCGCCATTTTGCTGGCCCGCGTCGCGGCGCTCTGCTTTTTCATTCTTACGTATCCTTAATCGATCCACTTGACACAAAAGTACATTATACAAGCTATGCTTGCTTTTGTCTTTTGCTAACGTGGCGTGACTCATGAATCTCGACTTCTTTGTATTTTAATGTATATAAACTTGGCTTCTCGTTATTCCCATCGTTCAATCCATGTCTATATTTAGAGGAAAATCTTTGACGTCATCTTGGCATCTGTAGTTATTAATGGTTACCAATTAATTTACTTTCATCCATTTTATCTTCATCAAATCGCTAGGTTCTAGTTTAATCCCTCTCGCGAACTATCTTTTATTTTAACTCGTACCTTCTGATTTCCCTTTCTAAGCGTTCTATTTAAAATAATCTTCAGTTCCCCGCAACGTTTTTCTACAATTGAGCGTCGTGGAAGACGTCTAGGTCGACGGTGGAAACCGTGGAGCGTAAATCGGCCGAGGGGACAAAGTCGGGAGACTACGAGGAGCAAATCGTTAATCATGAAATTAAATTGAATCGGGCCGCGGCGCGGTGGGAACGGAGCTAAGCGAAACCAAATCATTAAGAGGGAAACGACGAAAAAAGAGGGGAGATGTCTCGAGAAGAGAGATACCGGTGCAGTCGGCCCCGGCTTCTACGTGCCGGTAACTTTATTTCGTCGACTTTTTTCTCGGCACGCACGTCGCGGGGCCCCGGACCCCTGTCCTCCACGGGAGATTTATGCTACCGACATTGAAACTAAATTACGCCATAAATTAACCTTAAATTCGTGCTTTCGATGCACCTCGATCCACTCCTCCTGCTCCATCTCGGCTCCCTTCGCCCTTCAACCTCGCCGATCGCTTTTCGCGTCCCTTCACGCATACTTCCCTCCTTGTTCTTTCTTGGTGTCTTTATTCTTAAATTCGCGAATCCTCATAGCCATTTTTAATGGTCCGTTCGTGGACCATCGTCTTTCTCAAGGCCGATGAACGTATCCCTTGATTTTTTTTTTAGGTTTCCAGTGTCACCACTTCGACGCACACGATTCGAAAATCAAAATAAAAGTTACGTAGAATGTTAAGAATATTGCTGGAACGCGTCACCTTTGTCAAACACGTTCGAGGCGCTCGTATCGAAAAAATGGCAATCGATTACACGCCCACTGGATAATTTATCACGAGAACAGCCCCTTGGGAAGCGTCCGCGGGGTCGAAACTGCCGAAACGGTACTTCGTCTCGATTTATCGACTCTAATGATCCTTAATTCTCGCCCTCGACTTCGAATCATCGTCGATTCTTCGCCGTGAAGAGGCCCCCCGCACCTCTGTAATCAACGAATGGAAAGGGTGCAAGTTTCTATTGCCTCGTTTTCGCGATGGAACCTTACTTGATATTGTTTTTAAAATCTAAAATTAACTTCGATCGACGATCGATGGCTGTGCTGACACGTTTAATTGCCGGTAATGCGATAATTTATTGAGAAACGGAAAAATCAACAGAACGTGTGTCCGTCAGGTACAATTATCATATGTAACATAGTACACACCTATAGTACGTACGAAGTCAATGCTCGCAATCTGTCCCGTGTACACGCCGTGCGAATCTACCCTAAGTGCGTGGCACGATGACGAGGCTACTACGCACGAGCAGCGATGGGCCAAATTTAAATTTCGCCCACCTCTGCGCACAAGTGACCGTTCTACGCTCGCGACTCGTTCGTTTTCGTCTTCTTTTCGTTTGTATCGTGTAACTTGGAACACACACGACTCGTGTAGGTGCAGGTATATGTAAATAACGGACGATTGGTGTCGTAGCGCGAACACGGATCGACAGCTACCAATTTCTACGGACAAGGGGAACGGTACAAAGTTGACGTTAGTATAATTACGCGATATGTGTGGTAACTGGTGGATGTAAGACTAGTGTTAATAATATGATGTAAGTCGCATCGAGCATTTCGTTCGTCTAAGAGTAAGTAACGGTGCCGTGCGCCGACAACACGCACTGGAGTTTTCGAATAGACCTACGCTAATTTCGCTATCGTGGAACACAGAGATATGTGGAACGAGGTAAACGTACCGATAGTTGACCATTCTATTAGTCGCGTGCTAAGAGATCGCACGAGTCAAGATGGGATTCAATCGTTTAGCAATTTCTCGCTGGTTTAAGAAATGATCGATCCGATAGGAGTTTATTTCATTTATGGACGAACATCGTTCCCTTAAAAATGTTTCTGTGGTCTCACGGATGGTCAACTGCTGGCACACTTACCTTATCGTTGTTTCTGCGTAGAATCGAGAGAGCATACATGTAATATCGTAGAGTTTCCTCGCGTCGTGGATCAGCATGACGATACAATAAATACGTTGATCGCAATAATTCTTAGCTACTACAATAAATACAATCCTAAGTAGAAGCTCGTCGCTGACGTTCAGCTTCGATAAATATCCACACATGGCCGTCGGCAGAATCGTCGTCGTTCGACTCGTTCGTTTAATGAGAACTCGTTTATTCGATTAATGTATCTGGTCTATAACGTAAAATAGTCGTATCATATACAGAAACAGTACACTTTTTAATAATATACGAACCCTGTCAATTTTATTTGTCCACATATTATTAGAAACGTACCGAGTAAGTCTTCTTCGTCGATTTTTCTAATACTCTGAAATGAAATGAGACAATTCCGAAGGTTGGCCCTCAGCAGGATCGAACACAATCAAATTTCGCCTATCTCTGATGGGTTACACGAGCGAAGGGACGTCGTTTGCGACGACGATCGCGCACGCATCAATTTCCATCGAAAATCACGTTTACCGCGCGTACCCTAAAGAAAGAAGGAGGAATAATGCGTTTGCTGCGCGACCTGCCTGAATTCGTTGAGCAAATCTGCTAGTCCGTCGCAACACGCGACGTATACCTCGTATACGTGTACGTATGCGTATATTTATGTGTGTCTGTGTGTGCGTGCGTGGGTTATGCGTGTGTATGTATACTGGCACATTAGAAATTGGCGCGCTTCTCCCATCGATGATGAGACCGAGGCAGGACTGGTTGATCGCGAACCTGCCACGTTGAGCCTCTACGAAGGTGACTGCGAAATTGGGCGATTAAATAATAAATAACGCGGTGAATGTAAGATTAATAACAGATGTTCGAGGTAAACGCGCCAGTAGTGGACAGGCCTGAAATGAAATTTTCAAATGAATATTATCAGAGATTGCTAGATGTCGGAGGCAAGCTTAAATATCAAATTTTAAATAACAAGACAGTTTGTCTACAAAGACTATTCTTTCATCTCGTATTCATGGTATATCATCCGGCGAAGGAGTCTGCTCAGTCCACTACTGATGCCTCTACCTCAAGGAGCAATCGCTGACACGCGAAACGTATCTCGTTGGCCGCGATTCGACAAGATTCGATCACTCCCGAATGTTTCCCGTGTCCGTGACGTCGGATTCGAATCGCTCCCAGCAGTATCCAACACCAGAAGGTCTCGCAAGTCCTGATCAGTTCTGTAACTTTGCTTGGTCGCGAAGTTTAAAACCAACCAAAGCCTCAAACCCCGTCAGGACCCCCAAGATCTTCCAATATCGAACATAACAAGCGACCCGAAGCTGAACAGTCTCCAAAAGTTTTGCAAGACACTCGAACGTCCAATCACTGTTCACAAGACACTCGCGCGGGTGTTCAGATTCGCGCGTTCGATCGCTCGTCCCGTGTCGCGTTCCAGAATCGACGTCTACCAATCGATTCGCACGGAAGCAACCGCGGGGAAAATGTTTCCAAACGCGAGAACGGGTCTTAGTTGCCATTGATCTCGATCGTCGTCACGGAGTTGGCCTGGTGCTCCTCCTCTGTCGCCGAGGACGAAGGCGACACCGTGAAGCTGCCCAAACCGCTCTCCACGAGGCTCATCAGACTGTCCTGGTGAGCTTGCGCGAGCTTCTCGGCCCTTGCCTTCTCCTCAGCCTTCTTCTTCTCGGCATTCGCGTTGTTAACGTTTATATTCTTTGTGTTCTCCTTGATGAACTGCTCGAACTTCGAGATCTGCCTCTCGGTGACGCCCTCTACGATCTCGTTCTTCTGCATCGGTAGGTCGTGCTTGGTCACGGTAGGCTTGTATGTCTTGACCTTCGAGTGGCCCTGGATAATGAGGTACATAGGCCCACGCAGAGGCTTGGCGGGTTGTTTGTAGTGCGAGAAGATGGGATCCGTGGTAAGGCTTGGTACAGTGGTCACTTGAGGAGCAGTCGTCGCTGGAGGACGCGTCGACTCTTCCCTCTCGTTGGTTAGTATCGATCCCAGGGGGGACTGATTCTTCACCTCCGTGTCCTTGGTGTCCACGACGACGGGTGAATTCTCGGTGGGGCTGGCGGTTGGCAGGAACGGAGTAGGAGTGGTGATCAGAGTCGTCGTGTCAGGTAGGCGAGACCGATGATGATCGAAGGGGTGTTCCTCCGCTCCCATCGCTTGGATGGTCAGAGACGAGGATGCAGGTGGATTAGTGAACCCGATAGCGAAGTCTTGCATCTGCGGGGGTCGGTGCGACTGATCCATGGGCATGGAGGCTGCTCCCATGTGATTCATCATGGGCTTCGCGGGTGGCGCGTGGATGTGGGCCATCGGTGGGAACATGGACATCGGTCCTGGCATTCGAAAACCTAGATTCGGTCGCATACTGCCCAGGAAGTGCATCATGGCGTGGTTGGGCCTGGACTGCGAGTGCATCATGGATTGAAGAGGAGCTTGGGGTGGTCCAAACGCGTGCATCGGGTTAACAGGGAACCTGGAGAGCGGAGGCATACCTGTGGGCTGAGAAACTGGGTGCTGAAGATGGGAGGGAATCATTCTATTAGGGGAAACAGCAGAAGACTGGGGAGACTGGGGATCCTCGTAGAAGACGGGAGAAATTGTCACGGAGTTTCTGACTGGCTGAGGCTGAGCTTTCGGTGCCTTCTCGCTGGACGCTTCGACCTCTATCGTCGAATTCGTTGGTACGCTCGGGGTGGATTGCATCGAGTCTGAACCAGAGACGTTTGGCTTCTTCTCAGAGTAATTTATGGGCATCACCACGGCCACTGGGCCTTTGTTGGCCTTCTGAGACTCGATATCGAGACTGGCAGGTGAGTTAGCAACGACTATGTGCATCTTTTCGGATGACTCCTCGTCCACGTTCTCTTTCACACGTTCTAGAGAGGAATTCGCGGGTGGATGAACGTTTGCAGTGGTTGGTGCGAGTTTTTCAGACGAAGCTTCCTTTTGGCCCATGACCACCTCCTCGTTCTCGTTACTGTCTCCGTCCACGATTATGTTGGCGTTCTGCTTGACCACCACCTCGTGATTCGACGAGGCGGCGACGTGGTGATCGATCTCGTACTGATCGCGAGGGTAGTCCGGAGTCCTCCAGCCGGATTGGCTCGCATCCGAAGTGGTTGGCGTGGACACTGGACCGTTGCTAGGCCATCCACCGGAGAGAGTCTGGGTGGACTGGTAAATCAAATTAGACTTCTCGAAGGAAACGGACGGAGTCGTGATGCTCTCGTATCTCGACTTCGTCGGCTGGGCTGACGAGGAAGCGTAGACGCTCTTGATGGTCTCGATTTGGGAGACCATCGCGCCTTTGTTGGATGGCTTGGACAAGTTCTGCGACTTGGCGGGGGTTTGAGGGGGTGGTGGGTGTTGATTATAGTTCTTCGATGGTATCGCGTAGAACTGGGACTCCTGAATCACTGGTCCTTCTTCCGTTTGGGTGCTGAACTGCTGAGTTGGCTCGGCGAAGCTAACCAGCTTGTCCTTCTGGACCAACGGCGGAGGCAGCATCATCGTGTACGGCTTCGACTTTTGGTTGTAATACGGACTAGGGTAATAGCTAGCTGGCACAGACTGTATCCTGTTCTGGTTCCTGTAGTCGATCGGTCCGTTGCGGAAGTTGGACGTGCGCAAGACTTTCGGAGGTTCCGCGCCAGTGCTGCCAGTGTAGTCGTTTCTGAACGAAACGTCCTGGTTCGACCTGGTGAACTTTGGCCCATCGACGAACTTCAGGAATTGCTCTGGTATCTTGGGACTGGTCTTCTTCGCGGTGACGCCAAGGACTAGGATGTCACGTTTGGTAGACGGCTCGGTGGTGTGGGAGTCTAGCCAGTATTGCACTCTATCGAGAACGGGAGGAACGTAGTCGAAGGTGGGGTTGTTCTTCAGGGGATCTCCGCGACCTAGAGGCGTCCATTCGTCGTAGTCCATTCGGGGCGAAAACACGCGGGGTTTGCTTTCGCTTTGACCTGAAAACAGAAAAGTTCGATTCGTGATTTCTGATGCAACGGCGAAGCGTTCAATAATTGTTGCGCTTGTAAATTTGTTGATGTCTTCCACCGAATTCCACTGACTGCTAATGCTGGAAGGTAAATAAATAGGCAGCATCTGGGATTATGGTGATGCGTGTCACGATTGATTAATTGATTCGAGTTTTATTATACGCTTCCTTCAATTACCAGGCTCACGGATTCGACTGATTTATCGCAGACGTGTTACTAACGTCACGGATTCCCCGATGACCATAAATTTACCGGAACGCGAAACCTGCTAGAATGTGAAAACAGATGAACGAGTGGCCATTTTACGTGATAGCTATAAATTCTCGTCGCGCATCCGTGACGTCTTGAGGTTTCAATTAAACCATTTTCGCCTCTCAACTTTCGGTTAAACGTGTCCAGCGCTTTTGACCAATTGGAATTCGCGGAAGAAACTTACTGGATGTATCAACGTCGTTCCTTAGGTAGTTTTCTTTTAATAAAAGTTGAAATTGATATGTCAGGTAGACTTATTGCTCTATTTTCAGGCCTTCGAAGCTGGATAGATCCCTTATCGCTGGACATGCTGCTTTAGTTTCTATGCTCTGTGACCCTCGTGACACCTGCGAGCTCGACGTACCTTCCACCATGGAAAGTTTAATGGACGTCGGCTGTTCCGTGAAACTTTTAAACGAAGTGCCGTGTACGTAGCCAGTATGGCGACCGCATCGAAACTATACATAATCCAGCCGGGTCGCGAAGTGTGAAATTATTCCCTAATGCTTCGGACCCTGCCAGAGTATCGCGCTAGAAACGGAACACAAAAATAAAACTCCATGCATAGGTAGCCGATACTTTTATTTAACTATTCGCCGTTCGATATGAACAGTCCTTTATTTCTATTTTTTGTTTAAACCAGATAACGCAAGAACTTTTACCGCAACGTTCCCTTCCAATCGTTTCAATGGAATCTGTCGCAAAGGTTTCACGAATATATTTGACCCCTGTAAAAGATTCATGTCGATTATGGCATAATTTCTCTCGTCCATCGACGCCCGAACGTAACGCGTTTATGTTTCGCATGCAGCCTGCGCCGAAGACGTGCGAGCATAAACGATACTCGTCTGCCACGGACACGGTACATATAGTAGAAATAGAAACGTCGCGTCGTCCGACTCGATAATGCTGGAGAAAACGCGAGCTCTCGAGAGCCATTATCGGTAAGCTTCCTCGCGGGATATGGAACGTAAGTGCACGCACACTCGCGTTCGGTGTGTCTGTGGTGCATCTTCATCGACATGCGTTACATGGGTCCTCGTAACAGCGGATACATTAGTTACACTTACGCGAAAAATATAAATACACTGCTCCAAAAGTACCGAAACTAAATTTACCCCAAAATTTCCTAAATATCTCAACATACGCCACCGACAAAAATTTAATTCAAGTATTCGTGGTAACGTCACGTTTTGAATTGAATCTCATTCGCAACATTGTAGATTTATTCAAATATTCGTGGACATTGACGGGATTTAAATTAAAATTTCGTCTGGATGTCAAGGGACTGGGTTCGAGACCGGAAGATCTCGCGTTTTCGTCGACGGAAAATTGTCGTCCAGAGAGGAAAAGTCGCAACGGCTAGGACAGGCTGACAGTTTCTCTATTTTTCCTGCTTCCAGTTTCTCGTTACGAGCATGGACGGACGGATAAATGTTTCATCGGCATGCCGGAGTGGGCCGAGGTTCACCTCACCGGTGTCTCTGAATGTCCCACGGGGACGAAACGGCCTGCAGGCGCCAGTACTCGAGTCGTGTCGCATAAATACACGTGTCATGCGAAACGTACGTGGTGTACGAACACGGTTACTCAGTCGGTGCGCTTTCCTTCTCCCTCTCACTCCCTCTCCCTTTCTCTCTCTCTCTCTCTCTCTCTCTGTCGTTCGCTACGCTGCTCGTTCCATTTGCGCATAATACACGACAATCCTAGCAATATCTCCAGCTACGCGTCAATTCCTATTCACTCTGCGCTTGTCAAATTACTCGAGACACAGTCGCCAAGAATTCAACCTATTTCTAATAGTAGTAACGAGTCTGTCTAATTTGAGGCCTTAAAAATTGGATGCCGCTTTACATTTTTTTAAAGGTGGATTTATTCGACGCATCAATTTCAAATTTTACAAGTAGATTTACATTTCGTGAAGTAGAAATAAGCGATTTCGACGAAGCAGTACCAGCGTGTATCTCATCGCGACGATTTTGAAGCGAACAATCGAGAATTAAAAATGCCAGCGGGCTCTAAAGACGTAGGCGAAAGTGTCGCGGCCGATAGCAGGTGAAGCTCGCTCGCGATAATTGCTCGCCGGTATCGCGTGCACGCTAAAGCAAAGCGCAAGTACATAGAGACGGTAGAACTGTTTTCGAGGGAACTGCTCCATTCGTCGACGACTGAGCAAAGATTCATTAAGGTTAAGAGCTTCGCTGTTCGTGCCGTGTCGTCGAGACGAGGGGAATGAATTTCTTCCGCGTCCCCGATTTATTGTTACGAGTCTTGAACCACTGGGCGTTAAAGGGTACATTGACGCCATCTTAATTACCGTGCTCAATACTTCTTCCGTTTCCTCGATCAGCTTCGCGCCTCTTTCACGACTGCGAGAAACTAGCAGCGAGCTGAAGACTGTACAGTGGCGCTCGAAAATGTTAGGCACCCCATATAGAAATTTAAAGCATATCCGTGAAAAATTGTGGAATAAATAGAACACGCTGTTCCTCTATCTCCTCTAACAAAGGAACAAACGAACGAACGAACGATCTCACTTTCTTCTCATTTTGGCCCGGTCATCTCCTAAAAGACTCCCAACCCGTAATTAAAACCCTCCAACCCTTTCGAACGCGTTTGTATTTCGAAATCCACTTTGCTCCCTTAAGTTTCCCAGACAGTGCAATAGGATACCTAGTTTTAGTAGAGTCTCGACTGTTATTGCGCGCGAACCGTAAAAGATTGCTATCGCTTCCTCTCGCATTTCTCTGACTCCTCTTTTTTTTTTTTGTATTCGGCGAACCTGCGTCGCGACTTCTTTCGACAAACATTTTTAATATTCGGGAAAAACCGAGGAGATCCGTTCCAGAAGACCGTAGAAGCGTGCAGCTGGCACGAATAATACGCGTAGCGAAGCACGGAAGCATATTGAAAGCAAAGTTCGGTGATGCGAGCGCATGCACGCCTTTAAAAGCGTCGCGTTACTTTCTCGTGCTTTTATGTCTGGTTTATGTGCCATTATTTGAAAATGGACTGGCAACAGCGAGTAGTTTGCAGCTATTAGGTGTTCTCGCTCGAAAGTGTGACAAATACACCGACTAAAATGGATTGGATACCTCAGAAATTGAAAATAAGGGCTGAGTTACTATTTGTGGATAAATAGTAAGTAATTCATCGAATGTGCGCGAAGTTACGAGTGTCTTTACTCTGTCAAATGATTATTAATCGTTTGTTCAATTCTTTTGTTTGTTCGTAGGTCCATATTGGAAAAATTTCAAGATCTCGTCGAGATCATGTATTCGAAATTGTCGGAAATTCGAGATCGATATGCACGTTTCGAAATTTTTCGAGATCAAGATCGAGATCGTAGAAATCTCGTCTCGTCTCGTGCGCATCGCTAGTTTGGAGCGAAACGACTGTTCAATTTCTGACAAAACATGAAAAGCATTAAATAGGAGCATAAATGATGAGATAATAATCGAGAGAGAAAACGATCAAAAACAGAATTTCGTCGACGATACGCTGATTTCTAGACCCATGTTTACTCGCGCGCTCTCCCGCTCACTTTCGTGAACAGCGTGTGTATCTGAATTTTAGCACACCCTCTACACACACGTGTAATTATCCCGAACGGCGCGGTACAAGCGCGAATAAAAGCGTTTTCCTACGTTGCATGTGTATCGACACGCGTGAGTATTCTTTTAGCACTGAGCTGAGTGACCTACTGACCCGCCACACACGCTCAGCCACACATGCACGTACGTGCGAGCGTGAGTACACAAAATTTCTCGACGATACGGATACATTTTTACTAAATATCGCGCGGCAGCCGAAAATCTTTTCTGGTAAACTCGCCAGCGCTTTGAATCGAACGGGACAGTCTAAGGAACACGAGACGAATCGATTCGACAACGGAGATGGACTCCTGCATCGAATTTTCCACGTCGAAGAACACGAAATCGTGGAAAATGCATCGAAGCTGGGACAATTCGACGTCCATCGTTTTAACTCAGTATCGAGGTTAATGCAGTTTCGATCGGGTTCAACGATGATCGCAGCAACAGCGATCAGAACTGCGAAACTGTTGGCAGCAACTAGAAATAGTCTCGTAAGAACATATAACACGGTGCTTTTGTCATACGAAGACGCAGAGTTGGCTTGAAGGTCCAGCGATCGTGCCAGTTGAACCCTTTTCCCGCAGCTTCCTGCAGTACGACGATCGAAGTATCCGCAAAGGCTGTCGCAAAGCTAGCCATAAGAGCTGTGGGTGCGCGAACTCGGATATTTTATTGGCTACGTAATCTAACCCTCGACAAGAGGGTCGAAGATTAAAGAGGTCTTTCTCTCGTGGATTGCGAGCAGCTCGACACTGGAATCTCTCCAATATTCAGAGTTTTAAGAAATCAGTTTAATTAGTAGTAAAGCATTTTGCAGAGCTAACGTTTAAAAGCGAAATCGCAGACTCACCAGTCTTATTCTCAATCGTAGACGACACGGCTTGACAAGACGAGCAGCAGACGAGTCCCGCCAAAAGGAGCCACCCGCACAGATCCGCCACTCTTCTCCGTGTCATCTGAAACAGCAAATATTGAATTAAATTCATGGACTTTCTATTGACAGATGTCGCCAGGCTGACGGATTCCAGGCTGATTAACAGATCCTTAGTTGTATGTATTAATTTTACAATTAGGTGTTCCGCGTGTTCGTTTTCGTACTTTGCTCTAGAATCTAATCCGTTTACAAACGAAATAAATAAATAAAATTAAACAATGAAAGATTTTGCAAAGCCTCTTCGGTCACGTTCAGGTGAATCAGTCTTTTATCCGAGCAGAGTTCATTCAGGTACCTGGAAGAGCTCGAACGAATACTCCCGACGTTTGTATGAAGCGACCGGCGATATAGCGTTCGTTCGTGTGTTGCATCGGCGACCGACAAGGTACCCGAATAATCCCAGTCGGGTCGCGACCTATCCGAACCGAGCCACGAATCACGTTCCCACGATCTGGACATCCGCGACGGGCGCATCCTTTTTCGAGAGCGTCGAGAAATCGTTCGTTCGATACCTTTCATCGGCGATCACCCGAGATACGAGCCCGATAACGAGGGAACGCGACTGAATGGACCGAACCGAACCGAGAAAGTGGGAGGATCGATCGAGAAATCGCTACGGGCGGACGTGTTGACTTAGGTTGAGGCTACGATCTACGGAACACGCTCTATTTCCTCGTCGATCTTACGCACCACGATTATTAGATTGCTCGCAGATTAGATTGTTCGGAAATATAAATGGAGCATGATTCTGTCGATTTTTATGCGTTGGGCAGTTGTAGCATAGAGTGGTGGGAAAACCTTCGTGTATGTGCAGTATACTGTTATTTTCGTATGGTTGATAATTGCGAGATTTTCAGAGGCCGCGAATTATAAATTGCACCTGATGCATTTGGGAAGGAAAAAGAGTATATAAAATTTGAGTCATACTGAGAAACTAACAAGAGAGTAGAAAGCATTAAAATAGAAAGAAACAGGAAGATATACGTGTAAATAAATAAAGGGATTAGATGTAATTGCAGTGAAGTTATCGGTCTGATCGCAAGGCCAAAGAGAATCGGTCGGCCGAGCGAACTCACTCTCGCTAACCATGAAAATTGTACGTCCGCTATCCTGATATACGAGTTAGCTAGAAACGAGAGTTTACCGTGTTATAGAAATTGATACTACCTACGGATAATTGTAGAACTAATTAGCGTTGTCGCATCGATGCCGATTAGCACGGAAATTATCTGCTTGCACGGTCCCATGAATCACTAGGGACTTGTCAGCGGAGATAAGATACTAATAGATTATCAGTCGACCGTTTCGTGAATTGCCAACGATCGACACGCACCCAAGGTTATTTATACGTGAAACTGGCAATTGGAAATTTACACGCTTATCCCGTTTACATTGCGCAGGTTTCCCATGTATTAGACATTTTCGAGCAAACACGATTAACGCGTGAACTCGATCTTATCGAGCAGTCGAATCCACCAGAGGAAACGTTTCGTTTCTCATGATCGAGAATTCTGTAACAATGCCTTCGGGTCACAGACTCGATAAAAAAAAAAAACATTTCATTTCTCAGGGATATCGTAAACATGAATTCACATTCTCAAACGCCCTCGTAAAATGCACAAGCATTTCCTATTCGCAACGAGTCGTAAAAAAAGAATTGCCTTTAAAAAGTTTGTACGGGCAAGGACTAAATATATACAAGGTTAAAGAAATCGATTAATAAATTCTAAGAAAGGGGATCGGCCAGGTGGGCTAGAAGTTTGGAATTCCCAGACGCGCGGACGTCGTCCGTAAAATCGAATCGAAAATTGTCGATCGACAGCAATACTTTCACCCAGGACACGCGCGAATCAGTTTGCCGACGCGCAAGGGTCACGTTCGACGAATCGCCTTCGCCCGTGCGCACGGCTCTGCTGATTTCTATTTGTCGATAACAGCCTCCTTAGTAAACGTGAATTAAGACGAATATCTCTCGAGCCGTCAGAATTTCGAGAGACCGAGACCGGTCGTCTCTGAAATCTCTAAAATTGTCTTTGCTCTTTACGCGACGATTACGTTTATGATGTTCGTAGAATCGATGAACAATCAAGCTCGTGAACAATCAAGTCTGACGAAAGAGCGTGGCGAGTGAGCCAAGGATGCGCGGGTGATTCTTGGATGGCACGGAAAGCGGGTCGAACGAGGGGATGCTCGTTCGTACGGGCTTCGGAAAGCCTGCTGGAAGCGGTTTCCATCGTGCGTATTTGCACGTGGGACCGAGGCGTATCGAGAGACGGACACGTGCTAACGGTAGACGATGCTTCGGGCGCCGATCTCCTCTCTCTGGAGTAAGATTCCCAAAGAAAGAACCGTGGTCGGCATGGACGAGCGAGCAAAGAATGCCGCCTTCTGCGAGGTCGCCACCAAATTCGGCGAGATGCGACCTTGAAGTTTTGGAAAACAGAGGAGAACGTTCATCTTGAAGTTTTCCAACCCCGTCGCGGAAGCAAATTAGAAGAAGGGGATGGAAGACATACTCTTTTTGTTGGTACGATGGAAAGAAGATTAGACGAACCTTATTCAGATTGTAGAGTTATAGAGACTTCTATGGCGTACTCTAATCTTGAGTTCTAGTTAAGTTTATACGTAGGTGAAATTGATTTTCGTAAGCAATTATCGACGGAAAGCACAGTTGAAGAGAAGTAATAATTTCCATGTATTTTGATTGAAGATGATACCGGTTTATATATCGGTCACTGATTAACGAACTCATGCCATGGGCCACCAACAGTATTCTAATTGCTCGATCGAACGACTAAAAACTAGAAGAGTGCTCCAGATGGTGTTCAAACGGCCTGTACCTCTATATCAGGTGGGCTTTGCAATATCAATTCGTTCTAATTCTACAATTTGCCAAGCGTGGCTTACGGTCGAGAGATCGAATATTGCTAATCTTGGTAAAAGCTTCGCGAGCAAATATTTTCTCACGGACGGATAGAAACGTTCGAAGGGGAATACGCCGGCAGTCGCCAGACCTCGTGTACCGAAACTCGCCCGTAGCTTTCCTAAAAGTCACGTTGGGAAATTTATGTCAATTTCCACGACCCCTACCGCCTCCCCGCACCTTGAATATTTGTTGCCTACTCAGCGGAGTCGTATTTCTACTTAACTATTATTTATGGACGCGAGGCTAGGACGCCCGGAGGATATCGGAGGAAAACAGGAAGACCGGAGAAAGTAGACGCAAAAATTGGCGGCGCTAACTTCGTCGATAACGCGTGAATCGACTACGAGTCGAACGTTCTTCGGCAATTATTGCGTCCCAAAGGTTAGGGAACCGGGACGTTCGCGTGTGTACTCGCATGCACGCGACGAATTATGAGTCGTGAAGTCGAATTAAAATAGTTTATACAAGCATTCTGCTGTTTAAAGTGCTCTAAAATGAATTTCTTTGCGACTCATCAATAACTACTACCTTTTGACTAATCTAGTTTGACGATAATTTTAAATTGTTGCCTAGAAGAGAGTTTTGCTCCACTCTAATAATAAGCAGAGGAATTTTTCAGCCGTTGTTTTGTCTCATCCGGCTACAGCGAATTGTTACAGGAACGAGTTCGCGTATTATTCACGGTGCCAATCGATGAGAAGAAACGAGGTTGCAACAAAAAGCGACGACGAGCGTGTTCGCGTATCTCCTCGTCACGACTAGCCACGCACCAATATGTAATTACGGTTTACATCGTTAGAAAGTTATTGTCGGCTCGTGGATCGCTTGTTCTCGATCGTTTTGCCCCCGAATAGATCTAGACTCGCGGACCATCCAACGATGTTTCTGCATTCGCGCTCCGAAGGAAACTGCGAACACGTTCGCTCGTTAACTAACCGACCACGTGCCTCTGCCTGGCGAATAAACTAACTACGACGGGCAGCGAGCACTTGGATAGCCGACAGATGTAAGTACGAGTGCATCGAACAGATAAAGCTCCATTAACGTTTACAACTCTGGTATAAGCTCACTCGGAGTGGAAGATTTACGAGAATTGTACGAATACTGGGATGTTAACTAATAAATCTAATAAAGCTGGCGTTGGAAAAGAAGGTTAGCACATAGAGATATATAAATGGACGTGTCGAACGAAAGCGGAAGCCGCAGCGTCGATTGTGCCAGACGAATCGAAATTAAGGTCGCCCGAATTTACGGTTCCGTACACGCGAGACATCTTACGTAACAGCTCTTCGTTGGAATCGAGACACGCCCGATGGTGCACAGAGTCCAGCAGTGTAGCAGCTCGCTGGTACCTCAAAAATTGGAGGAATTGTCTCTTACAAATGCTAGAGAGATGAGGAAAGCTCAACAAATTTAAGAATTCTAGGGTTAACGGATGAGTGGATTCGCTGGTTATTTTCAAGAATCAAGGCGCCACGACTGTTTTGGCGCGTGGCGAGCAGGTAAACTAGTGGCGCCACGTGTTAACACCGATATGACATCTAAATCAGGGACAAATCTTGAGAGCAGGCGTATGTAATCTTGACCTTTCTTTTTTTTTGTAATTTCATACCCCCTAAAGGATGATTACCTCTATCGCCACCACTATCAAAGTTAGACGATCTTCTACTCTGTTATTTCTCGAAATTGAAGGCATCAAGCTTCAAGATTTACCTATCGTCCAGGGCCTAAAACGTGACGTACCCCCTCGAGGTAAGTTTTGGTCGGGCGGGGGACAGGGATCGAGACGAAAACCGGAGCGGGAAGAAACGCGCGGCGCGAACGGCCCTGAGATCGAGGTTGGATCGCGAGACAGCGTGGCCCCATGGTTTTCACTTTATCTCTCTCCTGCGGACCACACATGGTTATGGTGCGCGCGTCACCAAACGTTCGAACACACGCAGAATCCTTGTCTTCGCGCGTGTGTGCGCTGAGAGTATCCGCGCGCACGACCGACACGAGATCCTCTCAGACTATATGGTGATGGGAATTAATGATCGACGTTAACCGTCGGCTTATGCCACAGGTTTCCGGGAAACGAAACGCTCGCGTATCGA